CTGAGGACAAATGCAGAAAAATAAAAATCATTCTTTGCAAAGCTTGTCTGTTTGAAGTGAAGGTGTTAAGCGAGTTTTTTTTTAAATCTAGTTAGAGATGGAACTGTGAAGTAGCCACTTGAAGTGATGGAAGAAATCTTCACTCCCCCTTTTCCTTCCCCCTCAATATTATTTTATCACCTCCCTGCATTACCTGAAGAACACTTAAATCAGGCCTTGTGATTTGAGGGTATTGAACCACAAACCTTCTGTACGACGGGCAGGATTCCTAATCTCTTAGCTCAACCTTCATAGTCTGACGTCCAAAGTATTTTTTTACTCCATCGTTCTGCTGTGGCCATGAAACAACACAAGTTTGTACGACCTTTACAAAAGGGCTGTGTATCAGCAAAAAATCTGGCGATACGATACGTATAACGATACAGGGGCAACAATACGATATATTGCAATATATTGCGATACGATAAGACTGATTTTGGTTTGGTCCAAAGTGACGCAGCCTCACCAGGTGTGAGGTAACTTTCAATTAAAACGTGTCTCTGCTGTGGAATATTGAGGACGTCTTTTAAACCTGAGGGATGAGATGCAGTGTAAAGACGAGGTGTTGGGAGGGGGGGTGTGGAGGTGTGGGGGGGGGGCTTGTGTTAATTACACCCAAAGCCTCAGCATGTGGCTGAGATTCAAGTTAAAATGACAGTGAGGCTCAATGTGTTTGTCTGCCTTCAGGTGAACACCTGCGCATCTGTCCTCGGGGACACACCTGCTGCACCTCAGAGATGGAGGACAGGCTGCACCAGCAGAGCAAGGTGGAGTTCGAGACCCTGGTGGAGCAGAGCAGCCAGAGCATGAGGACCACCTTCGTCTCCCGGCACAAAAAGTTTGACGGTAAGCCACAGCGCTGCCTTCACTGGCCAACGTGGGTTCACCGTTTACGCCCTTAACCACAAGGATCCAGCAGATTAACAATCCATCAGATTAACAATCCAGCAGATTAACAATCCATCTGATTAATAATCCAGCAAATTAACAATCCGTTAAATTAACAATCCAGCAGATTAATAAGCAAGCAGACTAACAATATATCAGATTAACAAACCATATGATTAATAATCCAGCAGATTAACAATCCAGCAGACGTGGACCCAACAGACAGAGAAAGATCAGATTTGTCTGTTGTCATTACCGTCCTTGTCACTGAGTCTAAGTGATGATGTCAGTCGTTTACATTAACTGTGTTAAAAACTGACAGGAAGTACTTTGCGATCGTCAGCGTCGGTAGCGTTTCTCTGGGGATTGGGCCTCAGAGAGTTCATGAGAGGGTCACAGCTCAGACAGTATATACTGTGGAGCGTGGTTGTCACGGCGACGCAGCTTCACTTCAGGATTGTTTCTTTCGGGGAGGTGGGGGCACACACACATACGTAAATGCTACAGATAGATATACTGTATGTATCAACAGGCACATGTCCCTACAGACAGAAAAAAAATTAGACTGAAATTAATTTGCCTTTCTGCCCTGCCAAACATCCCCCCCGGCAATATCATGCTTCATTGAGAGGCCCTGCTCCCACTTTGAGAACCACTCCTAGATGTTGTTTCTGTGGGAATGTAGTCACTGGTGGTTGAACGGTGAACGTGACAGAGACTGGTTTGAGTCACAGCCTGTAACGTGTTACATCAGTTATGAAGAAAATCCTTTTTAGCCTTTTTTAGTTTTCTGTGAATCTGCCAGAGTTTAACAGCAGTTTCCTCTGCACTAATGATGTGGTTAACTGATCCAAGTGTGTGTGATGTCTCCCTCTCTCTCTCTCTCTCTCTCTCTGCACAGTTGAGTGTGTTTCTCCCTCCACTGCTTTAATTGAAGGTACATTTATAGAACTGTTTAGCGTGTTAGCGCGTCTCTCTGCTCGTTGGATAAAAGCTTTTTACTCTGGGATGCATTACTCTTCCTTGTTGTGCATATGTTTATTATTTTATGCATAATTGATCTTGCACAAGGGCATAAAGTGTTTTTATTTTTATTTCCAGACTCAAAGAGAGAGAGAGAGGGAGAGAGAGAGGGGGGAGGGGAGACATGTTGAACACACGTGAGCCTGTGTTGAACCCTGGCGGTCACACAGTTGGGTACAGTCCAGGTGAAATGTTCACTGGAAGTGAGACGTTCTTCCAGAATAAATCACAGAGAGGACAGACACACTGGGGAACTGTGATTGGCTGAGGCCAAAAAGACAGCCACCAAAGACGAAGAGAATCCTTCTGGGCTCGGCATCAAGCTAGGATTTAGCAGCAACATAAGACGTGAACAGGGATCTGTACGTCTGCTACACAGCTGAGGTATTTCCTGCAGCGGAGTTGAATTGTAAAAGTTGTTCAAATGATCTTTGTGTCAGAGGAGGTTTCTGTAAAACAGGACTGGTTTAGATCTTCATCTCCTTTGAGGTGTTTTTATTTATCGGCGTGGGAGGAACACATTCCTAAGGACTAATACACACAGTTACTACAGTTCTGTGGCAGTAATACTGTGTCTGATCTCAGGGATCTAAGGAGCCGAGCTTCAGCCTGTTGGACCTCTGTAGTCCAGTCTGGATCTTGAGGTCATAAGGTCACAGACTGTTAGAGAGGGTTGATCTTTTGAAACCGTGGACTGCACCCCACTTCACACGGCCCAGTGTCTTCATCTGAACATTTATAAGACTTAGTTCCGATTGGACTGCACCCCACTTCACACGGCCCACAGTGTCTTCATCTGAACATTTATTAAGACTTAGTTCCGACGTTTGTCCATTTTTACGTCTCTTTTACCGTTCACCTCGATGTGGGATTGGCTCCAAACATCGTTTTTTTTTCTTTTTTTAACAAACTCATAAGAGTACATGTATTTGTTATTTGTGTACTTGCCGTTATATCTAGTACTATTTCCATGTTCCAAATCAACAAGTGAAAACACAAAGTTTGGTTAAATAACTCCAATGTGCAAAAACAGAAATTGTTTTTCCCCTCGATGTTTATGTATCTTAGGTGGTTTAAGCTCATGCTTAACAATTATAGATGTTTGTTATTTAATTTAGTTAAACAAGACTTCCCAGGACCACGTCTTTGGAACATTAATCTACACAGAACTCCAGGAACCTCAGTGACAAGAACTCAGTTCATCTGTTCTCCAACATCAGGTCCCCGTCACCTCCTGGGGTTTGAACCATCCCTCATCAATTTTAAACGCCCTCATTTCTGTCCCCAGTTATTTATAGGGCTCTATTATAAAAACCTTAACTTACTTTTTGATTACTGAGAGCTCCCCCCGGAGGCCTGTGGGTTTTGATGCATAATTGAGCAATCTCAAAGCCATAGATTACTGATTCAGTAGAAGGAATGTTCTGGTATTCTGAGTGTCCAATCATGTGGCTGCATAGAAAAGTCTCACATTACCACAGGGAGACAGGACCAGGGGCACACTGAGGTTGATCGGGAGAATGTAGTATCACAGACAGCCAATCGTTGACTGACGTAGTTCTGACCAAATGATTAATTGTCGTATGACGTTAGCGTTGCCACATAGGTGGATGGATGGATGGATGGATGGATGGATGGATAGAATTTAATTAATTGTTTGGGAGTTCCCTTTGGAAAATAAAGGTTTATTTAACATAATAAATTCATAGTATATTTATTGTATATTTTACTACCTATATTATACTACAGGTGGCGACGACACCTATGGACAGATTGAGTTTTATTCTCGGTTTTTTTTCTGACCCCCCTGAGACCCAGGGGAGATGAGAGTCTCTGGTTGGTTGGCTAAAGCCTGGATTGAGCTGCAGCCTTGGTCGACTGAGTTCTTTGATCCAGCTGCATGAAGTCTCCCTGCTCCGTGTTGAGGGCCGTCGTGCCTCTCTTACCACTCCACAATCCCCCATTCATACTCAGCTGAGCCGACACAACAGCACATTGTTGGCTGATCTGTGTTCCTGACAAATTCAGTGACATCCTCAGAGACTCGTGAGGAACTAAAAACCAGGCCCAGGATCAGCGCCTGAATACAGCAGGTAACAGAAAAATGTAGATTTCCTCACATGGACGAAGAACGAAAAATTCAATAATGTATATGTCTGTGAGGGGTGTTATTAATTACTGTATGTTTTATAGTTGGTTTGACGCCCTCTGTTTACACACAGACAATTCTTACTTTCTGCATGGAAGAGCTGTAAATGGGACCAGATATAGTTTGTGTTTTAAAGTGAAACGTGTGAGTAATAGCCCTATTGTCACTGGGGCAATTAAAAACTGGCCCAAATTTAAAACAAAAAAACAAAAAACAAAAAAAACAGAGGGGTCTGTAAACTAAAAGGGTTCAGGGTTCATTATCTTTAATAAATTCTGTTCAACCATTATTCTAGACAAGTGGAATAATCAAAAAAAAATTAATTAAAGCATTTTCTGCTAACACGACATTTAGTTTTTATACCTTTCTATTTTAGTGAAAATCTATTTCTTCTTTGCTGGGTTTTTTTTCAGCATGTGGCCCACGTGCCACATTTTGAATTTGCAGTAAATATTCCTCTCCTATGGTAAATATTTATATTTTAAAACCCTCAACAAATGCTTTGGTGTCTCCTGGGAGATTTGGACAAATGAGTCTTCTCACTAGTTGAAGTGGAACAAACGTAGCGTCGGAGGAAATCGATCACAGGACTGATTTGTTTTGAAACGAGAACACGTTTAATCTGGAGTGATCGTTTACTACTGGTGCTCTACCTTCACCATGAAGCCCACACTCCACAGCTGACATCAGAGGGTCACGTCAGAACAGGATCTCAAGGGTTCTCAACACAGCACTCTGGCCACAGCAGAACGCTGCATGACTCATAATAGACTTGGTACCGATTTGTTTCTGTTTTGCTTCTCCAAACTTAAACAACGGCTTATGCACTTTTAATTACGGCCCGTTAAAAAGTTCCAGTGTCTAAGTTTCACATTGATTTGTAATTCCATTATAGTCTTTGTGCATAACAACGAGCGAACATTAATAATTTATACTGCGAATAAACAGAAAAAAGGACGCTAACTGTGCTAGCTTTGAATTAGCTTTCATCCTCTTCACTTTGTCTAAGGCAGCAGATCCCAAAACTCCACTGCACCCCTCCCTCCCTCCCCCTGCACTGTACAGTATATAAGACTGTAGATAGGACTGCTGTTGAGCCGTACACTCTCCATGCAACAAAGTGTTTTGGTTCTGGTGTCCTCCTTGTGTATCTTCCTGGTACTGCCATGTGCAGAATGTGTGAATAATTGTCTCCAAATCTGCTGATGGTGAACTAGTGAACTGTCCACCCTCTAAAATAGTATCAACGTCACACTCTTCTTCTGACTCCTGACAAACAATATTTATCTCGATATGTTTCTCATACAAAATATAATCCAAAGATGGCATGATGCCGCAGCATATGCTAAAGAGGCATAAATGACATAAAGGCCACGTGTTTACTGTGCTGTGGCTCAGTGTGTGGGTGTAGCAGTTAGAGAAGAAGAGAGGAGAAACTACTAGAAATAGGCAAATACTTGGAATATAAATTGATAACTTGAAAATCACATATATAAAAAAATATGGAAGTATTTTAAAACTGAATACTGTTTGTAAAAAGAAAGCAGAAGTACAAAGAAGGAGTGACACACAGGCTGCCAAAGGACATGGTCAGCATGATGTGATGCAAGAATTGCAACAAACAGGAGATGACACTAAATTACACCCAGGCCAAGACCCTGGTGAAGAGAGGCCAAGCATTGATCTGGCCCCCGGGGTCCGCTGAGGAGGCTGGGAACTCTGTGACAGTTGCATGTCCATTTCTGATGAAACCTGAACCTGTGTGGACACGCAGTTCCAGGAAGTA